AGGGAAAGCTTGGAGGGGCCAGGGAGACAAAAGTGGAGGCTGTCTGTAGTTCTCCAGGTGGGAGAGGAGAGGGCAGATCCCAGGGAAATACAGGATGCAAAATCATTAGGGCTTCGTGGACAATTAAGGTCAAGATTAGAGAAGAATGCATGGTTCAAGAGGCCTCTAGGCCTGCTTGGGCAGTGGTGACAGGACCCCAGGTAGATCCTGTGGGAGGGAGGGAGGGAGAGGCTCAGGAAGAAGTCACCAGACACGCTGGCTTGAACGCCTCACTGGTCCCAGGGCTGGCAAAAGAAGCAAGCCACCCAGGCCTTTCAGTGGCAGAGAGCAGGGAGGGTGCTGGCCTTGAGTATCCTCCCCTCCCCTTGGTCAAGTTCCTGGGGTCCAATGAGCCAATGACACTCCTGAGGAGGAGCAATACCCAGAGAAATGCCTGATGCTCGGCTACAGGATCCTCCTCCAGGAGCCCTGCAGCCCCTGGACAGGCCAGCAGTAGCCAGCATGGTTTCTGCTCGCTGCCCATGGCCCAGACACAACCTGCACTTGGTAGTGAGCGACACTGCCATCACTGCTCTCACACCTCATTTGGCCCTTCCAACAACCCAGTGTGTGATCCCCCTTTAGTCCTTCTATTTCTATACCCCATCTCAAGCCCTAAAAAATTTGAGCCAGTAAGTAAGAATCTAAGAAACCAAGTTATGTGCTCTAATTACAGTATAAGGTAGAACACAAAAAAAGAAACATATAACAAATCCAGGAATGTGAAAGGCTCTGGCTATTGGCCCACAGAAGCAGGCATGTCTTTCTATACAGAAACTCATATCCACGAAGCACCTCCAGCAATTTAAAAAAAGGCCTCCTGTTGACTCTGAGGTCTGCCCCGTGGAGTCACAAAGCTGTTTCTAGCAGGACAAAGAGACTGGGGAGCAGAGCAGGCTGGAGGGCAAGGTGGGCAAGGGGGTGGGGGATGGGGGCAGCCCGGCTGAGGCAGACCCAGGGCAAAGCAGAGCAGGAAGCCAACAAGCAGCCAGGGCTCTGTTTTGGGCCGTTGGCAACACATTCCATTTGGCCTGCTCCACCAGGAGACTCCTGGCACCCGGCTGAAATGGAATTCAAGGAGGATGAAGTCCGAGTCAGCGTACATCATCCATCAGTGAGCCTGCAGCCAGCAGAGAGGGCGACCTCCTCAGAGCACACCGGGCGCATTCCCACGATGCCAGGCCACTGAGTCAAAGGCACAGGCGCTCGGGCTACAGATGCTCCTGCCCAACTTGTGCAAGCCATTAAAACACTCAAGCCCAAAATGGAGTATAATCTCATAAACTGTGAATCACTATGTTGTACACCTGAAACTTACATAAGATTATAAATCAACTATATCTCAATTAAAAAGAAGAACACTCAAGCCCACAGTCATCAGCAGGGCCAGGGTGATACATGACCCAAAGACTCAGAAATAAGGTAAAAATGACTGCCCAGAGAAAGCTAAACCGACACGTCGGACGACGCAGAGATTGCAAAGTCACTCTGAGGAGGAGCAGGTGAGTGAACACATCTACTTACCTGAGGAAAGAATGTGCCATCATAAAGGGGGCTGAGAAAAGTCGTAGGAGGGGAGACCCAGGCCCATCCTAGTACAACCCTCCTTTATTCCTTCCTGCCACTGGGACTCTGTCTCTCTCAGAAAGCTGAGGACCAGCCTGGAGGCCTCAGAGAAGTATGCTGAGGTCAAGACACAGAGACACATCCAGTGGACTTCCCTGGGGGGCAGCACACTCCACGCAGGCCTAGAGCTGGCCTCTACCTGGCTTCCCTCCAACTTCCAGAAGGATCCCACCAGACAAGGAGGCACAAGCTGCCTGCCTGCCAAGAATCCCCACCTCCCACATCAGAAAGAGCCTTGCCCTAAGGGACCATTTCTGGTAGTTGAGAAAATACCTGAATAGGGTCTCCACCTTTGGGACATCCTTGGATCAGTGGACTCTCACAGGCCACAATTAGAAGCACTTCTCGCCCCACCCAGAAGGAGAATTCACATATCTGGGCACAGCTCAGGAATGGGTGCCTTTAAAGTTCCCTGGTAGGCTCTGATGGACTGAATGCACTGATCCATTCAAAGTGCTGAAATATAGTATCAGGATAACATGATCTTGTACACTGTCAACACTAAAAAGAAACTCAAAAGACACATACCCTAATGTCTTTCTCATCCAGAAGAGCCCAAATCCAGAAGGTCTGAATGCCACCGGCCTCCTCCATGAAAGGTACCCCTCACACCAAGCTGCCTCTCCCACATGGCAGGAAGATGCTGAATGCCTGCTGAGGTCAGAGCACTGGCCCAGCTTCATCAGCGAGGGAGGCCTCTACAACATGACCTTGCCTCCCTACGCAGCCCACAACATTCCACAGTGTGCCTCCCAGTTTAGCAAGAGAGACTAAGGTCCGCCTGCCCCTCCTGCTCCAGTAACACTGCAAGCTCACCGAAGGCGAGGTGAATCTTACTGCTGCTCAGTAGTCTCCAACCCGCACAGAGCTCATACAACAGAACCGTCTATGATGATGGAAATGTTCTACATCGGCAACTCCCAACAGCACCTGGGGAACTGCATTTTTAATTTTTATTTATTCCTAATTGATTTAAGTATCCACAAGCAACTAGTGGCTACTTTACTGGCCAGCACAACATGAAAGCTGCCTTTTCATACTACCACCTTTGCCTGTGTAGGCAACGGAAAAATACACAGGAGCGACTGAGCAAAGAAACTGCAGTGGATTCTCCTCTGGAAGGGGGCAAGGAATGTTGCAGAGGGGTGTATGAAGGACGACAACCAGGCCCTCCTCCCTGACAAACAGACAGAGGTCTCTTTCTCAAAGCACAACCTATGAACTTTCATCAAAGACAGGCAAAAAAAAAAAAAGACAGGCAAAAGAGTTTGTGAAAGAAAAGAATCATAGCACTATGTCAGAGCAGAGCAGAAATGAGTTGAGCAAATCAGCTAGACCAACCCTTCACTTTACAGATGAAGAAACTGAGGCTTGGAAAGGTTACATAACTTACATGAAAATCACAAATCATCCGGCCAGAGGCTGCTTGAATCTCAGCCCAATGCTTTTTTCACAACTTGTTTCCTCAGTGGACAACAAATCTATATAGAACTAGCAGGAGAAATTGAGCTGTTCTCAATACAGTGCCCATGAAACACAGCAGAAATAAATTACTAACTCATGTCAGTAAACAAATGGCTCATTACTGCTCCACTATAAGCACAGACACGGTTTCTCCACACACATCCTGGGAAACCCCACCAAGAGAGAGCAGGAAAGATGCTAGGACCAGCTTTGAAATCTGCTTGACTCACTGAAGTAATCTAATAAAGGTTTGTTGACAGAGAAGCCCAGGAATGAGAGCCCCAGGATGCTCTTGCTCACCTACAGAGGTGTGAGTCACCTCCACATCAGAATCTTGGAGATGCTACCATACCATACCAAATGGCAGACTCGGGCCCCAAACACACAGAAGCACCCTGGCCCTCACCTGTCCAAACAGCTTCTCCAGGAAGCCCTTCCCTGCCACTGCCCAGAAACACTGAGATCCAGCCTCATTTGGCCATGCATCTACTACACATCGTGCCTGTCCTCCTCCCCCACTGCTCTGAGGTCTCCTTCACAAAGTTCTGCCCTTCTACCAAGTAGCTTGTAAATGCTCCAAGGCAACAAATCAGCTCTTCCATTCAATTGACTGACCCAGCATCCTCAGAGCCAGAAATCTGTATTATTAAGGACTGACCACAATTGATACAACGTTCTGAACACATAAGATTTCCTTACAGGCCTAAGGCTGATGCCACCTTTATAAGACATGAAAGGTCTCACCTCTCACAAATATGAATGTCCCTGGGAGGCACTGATGAGAAAGCAGGAGAGGGGAAAAGATTCAAAACTGCCTCCCGATCTCAAAGCCATCTTCTCTCATATCCCACTCATGCTGCATCTCTGAGCCAACAGCCCCTTTGCTTATTTGGAAAAGAAACAACAGTTCTACCCTCTACTGACCTAAAGTGTGCTTCCTGCATCTACTGCCAATTTGTCACTTCACTTCATCAGTGAAGCCTTCAGCAACACAGCCCAGGCACTCAGACCGGGCCTTTCTCTGTACTCACACCGCACACAACTCTTTTCGCGCTTGTCACACTACACTGCAATGATCTGTTGACAAACTTGTTTTCCTTTCCTGCCCGTGCACTGGGCAGAGAGTGAGTCTAACCGCTCATTTATCTGACAGCTCTTCAGAAAAGCTGGAATCGAATCTCCCTATCTCTCCCCCAGCTCAGTCTTCTGACCTGTATCCTAGGATCCAGTTCTTCTTCTCTTGGGGACAATTTGGCTTCACTGCTGTTGCTTCCACCTCCTCCAGGCTCCTCTGCAACCGGGCTCCGTGGGACTTCATCCTCTACAACCTCAGGCCGAAGCTCCCCCTGTGGGGTCTCCCGCCCCCCTGGAACCTGCCTGAGTTCAGCCATGCTGACGGGAAGCGGGCACAGCGCTATACAAAAAAGAGGACTGACATGCTGGGACCAGGGCCCCAGCTTGGGGCTTCCTGGGCTCTGGGTGGCAAGAAGGGTTTCTCTTCTCCAAGGGTGGAAAAAGAGGGCACAGGAAGAACCTCACACTCGGTTAGAGGCCGAGATTCAAGGTGCTGGTGGGGTCCCAAGAGTTATAGCCTTGTATGTGCAAAAGTCCTTCCCTCCCCGTCACGGGGAGTCCACCAGAAGAGACCCGGAGCAACAGCTCCGAGGCAGGAGGCAAAGGGGGCCTGGATCCTGGGCCGAGGCCGGCGAGGAGGAGCACCATTCGGGAGGGCGGAGGCAGGCGCCTCCAGGCTGTGGTGGCAACTGGAGAGAGAAGGCTGGGCCTGAGCAGAGGCTGCTGGATGAGTCTCTGGGGAGCTGCTGGGGAAACAAAGGCCAAGTACATGGTCAGCATTTGAACGTCGGCCACCAGCCCCTTCCAACCCCTCAGCCTCCGAAGAACTCCGCTCTCTTCCCCCCACACCCCCACATTCTGACCAACCCCCTCAACTTCTTTCCCGCGTTCCAGGCTCTCGGGCCCCAGCCCCTCCCCCACCAGCGCCTTCCAGACTTCCCTCCGCACTCTCTTCCTCTCCACCGTCTCCCCCAACCCTCCCCGCTTCTGTTCTGGCCGCCCCATTCCACCCCCGCCCAGCTTTGCAAATCACCTTGTAACCCCCCAGCCCCACCCCCCCTCCTCTTCTCTCTCTAGCCCTGTGGACAATCCGAGCCTCCCATCTCCAACCCCGCT